ATTGAATCCTGGGGATGGTTTCCCCAATGCTGTTTTCATGATAGTGAGTGAGTTCTCATGAGATTTGATAGTGTTCTAAGGGGCTCTTCCCCCTTCACTCAGCACTTCTCCTTCCTGCCACCTTGTGAAGAAGGTGCCTTGCTTCCCCTTTGCCCTCCACCATGATTGTAAGTTTCCTGAAGCCTCCCCAGCCATGCTTAACTGTGAGTCAATTAAACCTCTTTCCTTTATAAATTACCCAATCTCAGGCAGTTTTTTATGGCAGTATAAAAATGGGGCCGGGCGCGGTGGCTCAAGCCTGTAATCCCAGCACTTTGGGAGGCCGAGGCGGGTGGATCACAAGGTCAAGAGATCGAGACCATCCTGGTCAACATGGTGAAACCCCGTCTCTACTAAAAATACAAAAAAAATTAGCTGGGCATGGTGGTGCGTGCCTGTAGTCCCAGCTACTCGGGAGGCTGAGGCAGGAGAATTGCCTGAACCCAGGAGGTGGAGGTTGCGGTGAGCCGAGATCGCGCCATTGCACTCCAGCCTGGGTAACAAGAGCAAAACTCCGTCCAAAAAAAACCGAAAAAAAAAAAATGGTGGACTAATACAGTAATGAATGATTATCATTGTAACTTTTATCACTTTAAAGACAAGAGATTGATTTTGTTCTCACCATTTGCTTGAACAACTACATATGAGCGTATGGTACTAAAAATTCAGCACTCTGTGGAACGCACGTTCTTTTCCTTCTGGGTTAGGGAATAAGATCAAGCTTCTTTCCGTTGAGACCTGGATGAAAGAGACCCAAGAGGTGATTGATTGGGCAGAATGGAGACTTGGGAAACGGAGTCACGTTCTGCGCTTCATTGTCCCTCCGGAACTACTTATGCACTCCGCGTTTTATCCAATTTTGGGTGTGCTTTTAAATGTGCATATCACACGCGCTTTTCCACTGTGGCAAAGACATAACCACACAAACATCGGCATGAAGAACAGCCCAGTTGACCTCCCTCACCGTTACAATAGGGCAGAACAGCTTCTTGAGTCCTTTGGAAACAAAGCCTTTACCGCAAAGATGAGACCCTTTCCCATTGTCCATTTATTCATTCACTCAAGAAACATTGAACTCCTACTATAAAAATTGCCCTTCCATTATGTGAATGAGTTCAAACTACAGAGGTTAAAAAGTTTAGTGAAAATTATCCAGCAAGCGATGAAAATTTTGACTGTTGACTCCAGGGACTCTTGGTTTTAAATCTATGCGATAAATCATTACACACAAACAGACACACAGCAGTTTAATTAATGTTGAGGAACAGGTTTTTTTTATTTTTTATTTGATTTTTATTTGTGATAAGAAAATGTAAAATAATTACTTTAAAAGATTCATGCATAGCCCATTACTGTCACTTTTCCAGCCTTTGTACAGATAAAACTATATTTTCAACCGCAGCCAGCACATTCTTACTCTTTTGCATTTAATATTACGGTGTTTTCCATTTCGTTGTATAATCGTAATAATCATTGTTTTTATTGCTGCATAATATCATATCAAATTGATCGACCATAACTTAGATATTCCCACATAATTGGACATTAAATCCATCCATCCGATGTTTTGTTGTTACAGGTAATGCTGCTATGATAACTTCACGTGTGTAGCTTTTCCTTTCCTTTAAATTACGTACAGTGAAGAGATTCCTAGGACTGAAACTATTAAAAGATAAGAAAGAGTGTTATAGTTGAAGTGAAATTAGCATTAGGAACAGAATTGAAGACAATGACCAGCCCAGCAAGGGCCCCTTCCTCTGCAGGGAGAATTCTCAACCACGTATTGACTGGTTTAATTGATTTTGTGGTGTTCCTACTCATCATGAATATATCCACAATAACGACGTCTAGTGAGTCACTGTTGGACAATTCTTACCATTTAAAATAAGCAACGTCAATCCTGCAGCTACATCTTGTTGATCTCCTTCTATACTGCTCTCACTGGTATATGCTCCTCCTATTTTGTTTACAGATAAAAAGTGTGTAAGTCGGACATGGTGGCTCATGCCTATAATCCCAGCACTTTGGGAGGCCGAGGTGAGTGGGTCACCTGGGGTTGGGAGTTCGTGACCAGCTTGACTAACACGGAGAAAACCCAAATCTATTAAAAATAAAAAATTAGCCGGGTGTGGTAACACTTGTTTGTAATGCCAGCTACTTGGAAGGTTGAGGCAGGAGAATCGCTTGAACCTGAGAGGTGGAGGTTGCGGTGAGTTGAGATTGCACCAGTACACTCCAGCTTGGGCAACAATAGCGAACTCCATCTCAACAACCAAAAATAAAAATAAAAATAAAAAGAGTGGAGCCATAGACGAATCCAGGGTTTAAAGACTAGAGGTCTGGACTGAAGTTGTCTTCTGCTTACCACCTGTGTGATTTTAAGCTGATTTGCTTACCTTGTTGATCCTGCAAAATGAAGCCTGCCTTTCAGGGTTGTGGAAAAACTCAAAGAAAATCTTAAAGAAAAGAAGAAGCAACATATACATACATGCTTAAAAATTTTTTTTTAATTTCTACTGTAGGGAGTGAACAGAGCCAATCTAAAGGAGGATGCAACCCAGTCAAGCAAGAACGCTGTACTCATTCCAAAAAAGTAACTCTCAAGAGGTATCTAGTAATTCAGGTAAATTTTTTATATATCTATATAAAGGAGTATTTCCAATTTCTGGTTCTGTAGACCCTCCTTCTCCAACCCTCATAACGGTCTCAGACACTCCAGGGAACTTGAATCCTTGAGATGCAAAGTGCTTTGGGTAACTTCTATGTAATCTGCTCAGCTCAGCAAAGCTGAGAGTAAATATTTCAAAAACACACAAGGGTTTTTCTAGAACAACCTCCCCCATTTGGAGACTTGCACACCAGCCAGAGCTTGCTTAGGTTGGCCTTAGCCACAGTCCTCCTTCCACGGCCTGGCCTGCGCCTGTTTCAGGTCGTCTGCCCCTAAGCAATGTAGCAAAGCAGATTCCAGGCCCTCCTGAGTTCCCCAAAGGTACATTTCAATATGAATTCCCTTGATTTGCCATCCTCTTTTGCCTCTCCCTAACTTTAATGACTTTTCCTTAATTTTTAGTATTTCCCACTTGAGGCTTTTATTATTTAGATGCCTTTTTCTTACCCTCATGTATTTGCATTTCCTTTGTAGAAGAGAGGAGAGTGGCAGTTCCTGATTACTTGAGAACTGCAGGGTGAGTTCATAGCGCTTCTAAAACACCCTGTTCATAAACTAGCCTTTAAGAGCAAGGCTGAAACCCAGGCATTGGTTTCTGCATTCTGTGAGGGGCTTCTCTTCCTAGCAGGACAGCAGCATCTGTAACAAGTACAAAGCCAGGAGCACTAGGAATGCACACTTCCCTCTGCATTCGTTGGAGCCTTCAGTAAATAAAAACCCCATGCCACCTTCTTTCTTTGTCTGAATGGAAGCAGCAGATGCTTTGTGCTGCCCCAGAGAGTTCCTTTCTTCACAAATGGAATGAATAAGAACACTCAACAGAGGAACACAAGGAGAACTGGAGGGAAGTTGATAATACTCATTTTGAAAAAAAATGCTTGTTGGGGTAGGAGTAAGATGTTTTAAAAAATGAAAATGATGGTAAATCAATGTGTTGTACTGGACCAAGCGGAGAAAATTAGCACGAAGACAAAAGTATGCCAGATTGCAGGGTCATTTA